TGACGAAAACATTGGAAGTGTTGCACGCCAATCGATGCTGAAAATGGGCGAAATGAGTCAAAAGACATGCCCACAGTTCCACATAAATTAAGCCAGTTTTTGCTTGTCGCGCTTTTTCCACTGCACAATCAACCAAGTCACTAGGGAAGTTTAGTGTTTTTGTTTTTTTTTTTTTTACTGGTGGATACAAAAGAAGATTCGGTCACAGCCGAATGTAATTTTTTCACTTTTTTTTGCGTTTGAAAACAAAGGCGCTCTCATGTAAAGTTGTTGTACTATGCGTATACCCTTTGACCGATTTCAATATTCACCTACCTGCTAGAGCGTTCAACTTTTTGCCGAATTTCAAACAGGGCTTGACGAACGGCTGCCATAGATATCGTACAGACAGATAGACTTCAGACTTTCACTAACTTTGATACTGATTAACAATAAATATGTTTTAGAGCGTATCTGAAGCTTCTTCCCGGCCGTTACAAACATTTTGAAAAATAAATACGCGCCCATTCCCGTGAATAGGCAGACTTGATAGTCGCACTTTCTAACGATTTATCTGCACGATAGCCTTAGATGATACAACACAACAACAAATGAATGTACCTCCATTCTTGAGTGGTGGGTATAAAAATAATATCTCAACTGGTATTTCAGAAACATAAGGAGAGAGCTTGACTTCTCAGATCGGGTTTTTCGGTCATGCCAACAAAACATAAGTACCCCCTAAAAATATGGGATAGGCGCGAGTAAACAATATTTTTGAACGGCACACATTTTGGTAAGTATTCTTTTACTCCAAAAAAAAACAATTATTGTTACAATAGAAGAAAAATTAACTTTTTGCCATAACTGCGAGTGAGCATAAACCTATTTATTTGCAGCAGCGTAATTGTTCATGATTTTTTGTATCAATGTTTTTTGATCTAATGCAAATTTTAAGGGCATCAAATGCTTACCCCAGAAAGCCTATAGGCAATGTACCAAACATACATACACATACAAACACACACACAAACACACACACACACACGCATTTTTAAATATGTAAATATTTCTGCTTAATGCTAACCTTGATCTCACTCAATGATCTCATATAATTTAGTCATTGTTATTACGCCGTTCAATTCGCATTTAAACACTAATAGCTCAATTCAACTCATCTTTATAGATAGATAGATAGACAGACAGACAGACTAAACAATTTCTTCATATGTTTTAATAAAAGCATTCAATGAATTTCATCTCTTACCTCTTAGTGATTGATGGGTCTTCCATAGATTTTGCAGCTTATTTGATTTAATATTTACTCAGTAATTAATTTTGTGATGATGATAATAAAGAAGAAGGAAATAAGCAAAATGCAAAAAAGCACATTATTTTAACTCACAATCAAGATTTTTCTTTTTCTTTTTTTTTTTTTCTTTTTTTGCTCTTTTTGAAACAAACGTCTATATAACATTTATAAAAAAAAGGCTGAAACAAGTCAATGAGGGGAGAGAACTAAATAAATTAATAATGGAGAAAAAAAAAAAAAAAAACCACGCGATTACGACATGAAGTAACAAAAAGTACACAGACTTAATAACTGTGTAAAAAAATAACGATTGGCTCCGGTCTATGTGTAAGTTTTATGTATTTATTTATTTATTTATTTATTTATTTATTTATTTATTTTTTGTTTTTGTTTTCAACAAGATAAACACAAACCGTTACTGCTAAATAACTGCATACTACATCAGCGACAACGGCGGAGAGCGATAAAGGACAAGAAACGAAAAAGAAAACAATAAAAAAAATAAAAAATGTTTAAATTGCAGCATTTTTTCAAAACCAAACTCGAGAGAAAAACGCACAATGAGACAATAAGCAAGCAGAATACATACGTACATATATGAATGTATGGAAATTTTGTATTTTTTTTTTCTTTTGTTTTTTTTTTTTTTTTTTTATATACATAACCGCGTCCTCAACAACACTACTCCCCCTGCTTTTATCATTAACACAACAAAGCACAAGCAAATACAGGTCACCTAAGTATAATACGGCATTTCTAAGTAAGTAAGTAATCAGTGCAATCATGCTCGATTTGACATCGATATATAATCATTCGATATTGGAAATAAAACCTAAACCATTACATGCTCTATCGGAATATATTGCTTGTGTGCATTAATTCGATAACAAAATTGAGTAAAATTCTTTATTTAGAATTTACAAAGTTGCCCATAAATATCTCGATCAGAAGAATATGTCCTCTAAAATAAACTATTTCTTGCACACTTACATACACTACATACAGAGCACTCTTTTGATTCAGATCACATTTTTAGCTTGTTTGAAAACATTAAACAGGAAAGGGCAAATAATCTTTATTAAGCGATAAATTCATAATTAAGTTTCACATACGCCACGGACATCGAAGAATTTCCACTTAATATACCATACACCGTAAAGTTAATACGTCCGGTAAAGGAGAAACAATTGCGAAGAATATCTGTGCTGTTCATAGAGCCGATCTTATCCAATCAATTTGATTGAAAAGTCAGTGGAAAGTAGAGAAGCTGACACCTTATTGTAGAAAACAAATTCTGGAGGAGTTCTTGAATAACACGCTAATAAGGAACGTTTTATAAATATTACTCAAGCCAACTTCTCATTCGCTTAGGCCACTCAATCTCAGGATCAAACAAAAAAAAAAAAAAGAAAAACTATTCCGTTTCATCTCAATCACACAAATATTATGACAAAGTACGCCAATGTTTGAAATTCCATATCTTATGCCAGCTATATAATAAGCTGGCCTGTGTTATACGAAGGTTATGTGTAAACGAATTTTGAACTTTGCCGATGTTAGTGTTATAGCAAAATCCAAAAATGTAATCTAATAAATGACTAAATACAAACCGACTGATGATCGTGCAACAGGAAATGCAGAAAATGGAAAAATTAAACACAAGGCTAGAGAGTATGCTAAAGATTATTTTAAAAATATATGAAAATTTTCATATATATGTATATAAACTTATTTATATATATATATATACATTTATTTATTAATTTACATACATTTATAATTTTTAAATTCTTTAAAGATGAAATCATCGGAAAGAAAACTACTTGGCTTTAATAAGCCTAACTTGAAAACCTGTCTTAATGGAGAACTTTTGTTCTCTCTTTGCTGTAATCTTTTTCCAAACCTAACGCATAGTTCATTCTTGCTCACTTCAGTTTTAATAGAGAACCCGAATCAATGCTTACGCTTTCTACAAAGATTTCACAAATGCCAAATTCTAAAGGGATTTGGTTTAAAGCATGTGGAGTGCGTTATATCCCCACGCAGAAGCAGGTAATCGAAACTTGTTTCATATTTTAAGGGTAGCAGAGTAAAACATTGGGAAGCATACAATTCAAGCAATATCTTAACTAAAGTAGAACATCTCTCGAATTAATACACACACACAGAAATGCACACACACTAAGGCACCACACAAACCCTAAGCCATAAAAACGAATTTACTTTAAGACGAATTTTAAATGCACACCATCGAAAGTAAATATTTTCATTAATTTTCCAATCATTAACTATCATTAAATGCCCGATTATATGAAGGATGGTCATATGAAGGCACAACGTACAGTTAAAAAGGCTGCAATACTAACTATGCAGGCGCCAACTAAAAACGAACTCAAATTTTTGAAATCGTCACGATTTCTATGGCATAGATAAATATGCAGTGGTTGCTACTGAGACTTAATCGAGTATCGAATATCGGTTTTGGAATCCCAAATCAAAACAAGAAAACATAACTAGTTCAAGTCAGATTCTGACAATAATCGTATATATATATATTTATATATGTATATGTGTATATATGTCTTATAAGATCTCCGATAAATACTTTGAAATGTAGCAAGCGAAATATCAAAATTAATGTACTCTTATTTTTCTCCAGTGCTGAATGAATATATAGAAAAACACACAAAAAACGAAAAGAGCGAAAAGATCTTATTTTGCGAGCAGAATAAAATTTACAAGGGAGCAATAGCCACAATTATAGCATAAATCGAAAAAATAGAAAAAAATGAAAGCAAACAATTTGCAAACAAAAAAATCTCAAAGATAAATAAGTAATTTTCATTTCATATACATATCTTCAGAAATTTAAAAAAAAAAAAAAAGAAAAAAAAAACTGTACACGCTTAAATAGGACATATTGCACACTTTCTTAACACAAATTCATTTGCACTTTATAACTAATACAAATAAATAAATGAAACAGAAAAAAAAGAAAAAAAAAATGGGAGTAATGCCGCACCTATATATAAAATGATTAAGTACGTAGCGAGGAGGGGGTTTAGGAAACAAACTTAAAATTCCAAGCGATTTTTAAATTTTCTTGTTTTTTTTTTCTTTGCGTTTTACTAATTTACATATATTTATTTACCACATATTTTAATATTGCTTTTTAATTGATATTCAATTTTTTTCCTTATTTTATTTATTTATTTTTATTATATTTTTCTTGTTTGCAAAGTAATTTTCTGTTTTATATTTCAATTGCGATTGCTGTACCTGCCAACATTTCGTTATGGTTTTTTCTTAATATATTTATATTAAACAATTATGAACTTTCATATATTTATTTTATTTTATATTCTAATTAACACTTTTTTTTTTTTAAACATCATCCAACAAGTGGCGGCCATATTGTTGTGCCTTTCCTTCACAATTCTCTGAGATCACTTCTCAATGTGATCCATCAAAATGAATTTTATTTATATATGCTCAGATATATATATTTAATTCTTTATACCACTTGTTTTAATAATTAATTATTCTCGTAAATCGATTTTTTACAATTTTTATTAAAAGTTAAAGATGATTGCAATCTTTTTTTTATTTTTTTTGCATCCACCAACAATAAAATATAAAAAAATGTTAAACAAAACAGAACACGACCCGATAATGGTATGGTATGGTGGTATTCACCGAGGTGGCCGTGGAGATGGTGACTCTGGTGACTGAAATTGAAGCAACAATAATGAATGCTATATTATATTAATTAAAGTTTCTTTTTTTTTTTTTTGGTAGATTTTTCTTATGGTTTCACGTTTTAATTAGTTGAGTTTTTTGCATATGTATATATGTATATAAATATATTTTTTTTGTTTATATTATTAATATTTATATTTTAACTTTAACATAAAGTTAAAAAAACAACATCTCTGACTTTCTTGATTTCTTGAAATTCACACACACACTAAAAAAAAAATTGAAAATGTTTGGATTTATATTTTAAAAGTGGTAGCTCTATTTCTTTGACTCTCTTTCAGACACAAGTAAAACAATCGGAAAAATCGCCTCTCAGCGAAAAATTTGACGTGAGAATAAAATTGTGTTTCTGAGCGCAAAATTAACTTTGCTGTACATTTCTTGTCGAGACCCCAAACAAATCCTAAGAAGAGAAAATTTTGTATTTCTGAGCGTAAAGTTGACTTTGCTGTCTTTGCTGTACATTTCTTACAGAGGCTCTAAAAAAATGTTGAGAATAATAAAATAAATTTTTGAGAGTAAAAGCAACAGCGTTGCCGTGATTAAGTATTTGGAGATGTATTTTACAATGCTTCATAATTAATTATTGGAAATTTACACGACAGATTTCTCCGCTTTAGGTTTCCACTAACAGCTGCTGATATATAAAAGTGATGCGCGTTAATGGAATAATAACAAGCTGAGAACATTTTCATTAAATATTATTGCTATCATTATTATTATCCAATTGTTTTTGGCTGTTATTACATATATTACTGTTTTTTACTAATATATGCAGTAATTGATAAAACAAACTATGTAAAAATGGTATTATCGATCATTTTTGAGCTAATGTAAATGGGTGACTTTCATTTTCAAGTTTACATTACGTATGCACAAGAGTTTTGAGAAACGCTCTCCCATAGCTGTCAAAGAAGGTGAAAGCTAAACAACTCACGTTTTGCCTTTGTATCCGTTAAATAAAATAATTCTTTTTCTTTTCTTTTTACTCTAATCGTCTAATTAGTGCTCTTAATGCGCCAAGGTTCTAATCAATTCCGTATCATCAATCTTTCCATTTATTATCACACACTATCGACAATTTGGCAGCTCAAATGTGAAAGGTAAACAGGATAATAATAACTATAAATTCGGGAGAAGAAATAACCTCAAGAATAAAGAAGGGCTTGTACACATGTACCCATTGAAAGCACAACGCTTTTAAAACCACAAAATTTCATATGTTTTTGCTTTGAAATAGTTTGAGAGAATGCGACGTCATATCACGAACTTACTAATGGTATCTATGGCCACACAAACAATGAGAATGAGGAGCAAGCAAACGGCTGCTAATTAACTGTGATTGATAACAGATATACCAAAAGTGCCTGAGATTCTAGTAACCTCAATTTTGAACAAAATGTTTGAACGCCTTTATATATACTTGTTTCTAGTGCTACTTCAAAACATCCAATATAAACAAACATTGTAAAAGAGAGCAAGTGAGAGCAAAAGACACACGTTGCCACTATCAATTTTGAAAAAATTCGCAAAAAGATTACAAACCTCTAGTGAGTTAGAAGACTGCATTATTACAACGCACGAGCGATCCTGAACCAGAAACTTTGTTTTTAAAATTGACAAATATACATATCACTTTTTCGGGTCCACCATCAGCTTATTCGTCTTTTTATGAACCTAGGTACCCTATCATTTACAACGTTCAATAGAATACGAAACACCTACTGTTTTATACCGTATATACCGAAAGACTTGTCCCTTGTATTTCTAATCGCCTTTAACTCATTACTAAGCCGTTCATCTGTACTAGGAGTAATAGTACAGTGTGATAAGTCAGAGAGCTTAGACTGCTATCAAAGAATATATATTACATTTCAACCAAACCATTTGTTTGAATATATATGGAAAGAGAATATTCTTTTTTTTTTGAAAATAGGATAAAATCGAATGCCACGCCTATAAAAATTGTATAAAACTATTCAGGAGATGTACAAGGGGATATGAATGCATATTTTTGATACATTTATATAATAAAGAATACATATTACATTTCAACCAAACCATTTGTTTGAATATATATGGAAAGAGAATATTCTTTTTTTTTTGAAAATAGGATAAAATCGAATGCCACGCCTATAAAAATTGTATAAAACTATTCAGGAGATGTACAAGGGGATATGAATGCATATTTTTGATACATTTATATAATAAAGAATATATATTACATTTATATAAAAAAACTATACCAAAAAACCTATACCAATACGATTAGAAAGTGATGATGTTGAAGGTGTTGCTGCTGGGTTTGCATTATGTTAGCATTCATATTGCATTTGGTAGGCATAGGAATGTTGTAAATGCTGAGCCGACTGATAGGGACTATAAATATTGCCATGTGTCATATTATAAGCAGCTGTGGTAGCACTTAAATTTTCTGGTTTGTTATTGTCGTCATTTAAATCGTTGTTGTTATCTTTTTGATGATTCTTTTGTAGGTCATTTTTCATTATATCATTATCTTTTTGCATTTGAGAAAGTGTTACCAGTGTTCAGATATTCAAATTATCTTTAATGAAATAATTATATTAGATATTTATCTGAATATTTATTTGTTTTCCATTGCGCTCGAGCCCAGCGCTGCAAAAAAAGGGAACTCCATGATTCAATTATTGCTTTGGTGCTTTTATATTGGAACGTTGGATGTTCCCCTTTCGTCCATTTTTAAATGACTTAAAAACTGAGAAATGATTTCTAATTTTCGAGTACTATTTAAATGTTATCATTGGTTTAAAAAAATTAAATTTATGCAAAACAAAATTGAAATATTCAAATACGACTCTGTGCGTGCGAAAAATTTAGATAATGCAAATCCTCAAATACGACTCTGTGCGAGCGAAAAATTTAGATAATGCAAATCCTCAAATACGACTCTGTGCGAGCGAAAAATTTAGATAATTTAAATACGATTTGAGGTTAGGAAAAAATACATTTCCTATCTTCATTGTGAAATCTCATAAGAAGCATTCTCATAAGAAGTATTTTCATAAGTATTTAAAAATTGTCTAAAAATTGTGAAAAACGAATTGTGAAATCTCATAAAAAGCATTCTCGTAAGAAGTATTTAAAAATTGTCTAAAAATTGTGAAAAACGAATTGTGAAATCTCATAAGAAGTATTCTCATAAGAAGTATTCTCATAAGAAGTATTCTCATAAGAAGTATTTAAAAATTGTCTAAAAATTTAATTTGCAAAGTGAAAAATTAAAAAACAAACGTCCATACACACTACGGTAAGTCCATTTATGGAAAAGTTCGTTGAAAAAATTAACAAGCATGTCCGAAATAAAACCTACATATATAAATATTTTGTATTTGAGAGATGAAATGGACTTGACTTTCATATGTAGCTTTTGGATAATACTTCTCTTAAAAAAGTATCCTTTCATGTATGAGCAGTATTTTCCATTTTCTTAACATATTTTCTTACATTTAGTAATATATTAATTTTCAGAGTACATTCAGAATATATTTTGGGACACACATTTTTTCACAATTCTTTTTTTCACTTAGTTTTGAATTTTTCTATACACAACAAAAATATGATTTCTAAGTTTATTTCGAAAAGATTATATTATCTACTAAACCATTAAAAATGTAAAACATATTTTCCAAAATTTCTATGCGATGTCCGCCAATTAAATTATAAAATGTAACTTGGCATATATTTGACGCAGCGCACCAACATTTCCTATAGTAGCTTACGCATAGTTGCTGTTGTTAATGTTGCTGTTGACCAGATGTATACGTACTGGCTTCACGATCGCGTCGGCTCAGACGGCCATGTTTAGAAATTTCACCTAAATTAAAAACATTTATTTGTTTATTCATCGACCCAGTACTCACACACCTGGCTTACTTTTTGATAAACCGACCAGCAGCATTTGAGCTTCTGGACGACTCAAAATTCCTTTCAATTGCAATGTAACGAAGGGGCAACTTGCTGTAATGAATCGTCGTTGATGATTGCATAATGCTTGGTTTTTGTTGATAAGATTGTCTAAACAGCAAATTTGAGAGATTTTCGCCATTGCAAATAGGAGTTTGCTTGTATACCCTGAGTGTCGTCTTTATTACATATAAGTGATTAACAAATTTCCGAACATTTTCCGTATCTTGTTCCTTCGCATCGTTATTAATACTGTTTCCCTTGTTAGGACTGATATGAGTTGTACGTTGTACAGTTTTGACGCCATTCAGCGTCCAACTCTTGCACCGAAGGGATTTGAGTTGCAATCAACACTTTATGAGTGGCATCACTATTGTCTGAAAATATTTTTCTCAGTCAAGTACAATTAATAAAATAAATGCTAAAATGCATTATTTTCCAAAGCATTAAGCAAGAGTAGTAATAAAATTTGTTGCAAAATTTGTAAAAAGTTTATATTAATAACAACATAATATTCTAATTATAAAATTTAAGCAAGTAAAAAAGTTGAAATTTTAGTCAATCTCCATAAACTGATAAGAAAAGTAAAGCAAAAACGTGTCAACTAAACAAAATTATTTAAAAGTAATAAAATAAAAACCCTTTGGGATAATTGAACATTGGATTTTGAGCCAGAGGCGAATAAAAATGGCAGATATGATTAAAGGAGCGTAATGGTTTATTATTTGTTTTTTTGGACTTGCATCCTTTTTTCCGCTAACATTCTTGTCCTGAGCGTTTGCGTTAACTTCATTTTTTTGAAGGCTTTTGGAATGTGTACTATTTTGAACGTGTGATG